ATGCAACGAACTAAGGTTGGCAGAGTTTGCTAGTGGGGTGCAATGCTTGTTAGCATTTCCTGTGCTGTGTGTGAAGCAGGTGATTTAGAATTAGTCCAGCTGATAACCATTATGTTTTATATTGGGACTGTGTACAGATGTTGTTATGAGTGTTACCTGCACAGTTGATGATTGAAATATCCTCAGTGTTCATGACTTTTCTCATAAAGGCCATGTAACAAAAGAACTGGAGTTAATATTTTCAGAGCTATACTCAGGATTTTCAAATGCAGAAGAGCCAAGAGCCAGAGAATCTGTGCTGCCAGAACTGTGTACTGTACATTGTCCCTTGTTGTCCGTGTTACTTACCCTGAAAGCTCAACAACTGACATAAAGCTGCTATCCAGGAGTCTGTCCAATATACAGGGACAGACTCCTGGATCAAAATTCTCTTTGAAGACTCAGGTCTATGCATATGAAAGTGGTACATCAGAATGTTTCTCATCACTAAGCCACAAGACAAAAGAATGATGGCAATATTTATTGAGGTGCATCTCAGAGGTAGAGTGTTCTCAATAGAAGTATACAGGTAAGGTGAGAACTTGCACAGGACCTCAAAGAGTCCATGGAACTATAATGTAGAGTTGCAAGGGTAAGTCTTTGTAATGCACTGGCTTGATTTTAGGTATGGAGACCACCACAAGCAGATTTCTGTCTACCTGAATTCTGGACATTTATAGGTAGGGCATTTTGCACCTACCTGTCATGCATTTCAGTTTTCATGCCTTGCATCCTACAAGTCAACTCTGTAAAGGAGCAGCTTTAGGACCTGTTAAGTTGTGAGTTTTTTAGGCCTCATTACATCTCAGACCATAAAACTTCATGTGTATATTTCCTATGGGAATTAAGCACCTGCAATACCTGTGTGTAAGACGTTGCAGGACTGGGATTTGAATAGTTATTGGATTAATATGCCACTTACAAAAGAGTTTTGTGTACAAGTACCTGTTTTGTGTTTCTCATCTGTGCATATTCTCACACCAAATACATAGGTTTTGGTAAATTGCTCAGTAGAAAAATAATGTATCATGGTTGCCTTATTAGCTAAATGTTTTTCTCCATGTGCCTGACTGTGCTAACTCTATCAAAGCAAGACCCTGATGTTTGGAATATTTGTGGTTTATTAACTTAGAAAGAATTAATGTGCATGTGGTTTGAGGATTGGATGGATTAAAATTTTAAAAATAGATCCCAAACCTCACATCAATATAAGCATCTGAGTATTTTTAATTGACATTTTAATTAAAAAATAAAAAGTGCTACAACACATAACAAACAACACACTAACTTTTCCAGGTCTAGGGGACTTGAGAGAGCACATCATGTGAATGATATCAATTCAAAAAAAAAGCTTATATCAAGCAGCATGGAAAAATTGTGAGACAAGGTAAATAGTACAAGGAAAACTTATTCTTTAGAGCAGTGAGCTTCTCTCAGAAGAGCAGTGCACAAAGGCTGTGCATAGGTACATTTTCCTTCTTTGCTGCTTGCCAGGAGCAGAAGCTGGAGAAGCATTAATAGAGGTATGTCAATATATTGGAGTTAGGGCTCAGCACTCACAATGACCATTTAATGAACTACTTTGATGCCTGAAGGATCCACATTGCCAGAATGATCACGTATTCAGGGATACACATGCTGCACAGCTGTTACCCACAGCTATGTTGACCTCCAGCAATCCCCAGTTTGCTGCTTTCTGAAAAGTTACATGTGCTTCTGCTTCAAACTATCACCTGCCCTATTAGACATTTTCCACAGCTTTACAGGCTGCTTCTCTTGTGAATAAAGGCTTTTATTTCATCCCTATACAGGATTTCCAAGTGATACACCATTGCTACTGTTTGGTATGTGGTGGCTGCTGCTTGTGAGCTGCCTTGCCTGTTCGGGTGCTGCTGAGTGTTCATGTGTCTGTCTTAGAGACAGGCTCCACTTTACACATAATAAAAGAAGCTGCCCAGCCTCTTTGGATTGGGCAAATTCATCCTTTTCTCCACATTAGTGTTATTACTGTGCCACCTAAGACACACAGTCACAGGGAGGATCACAAGGATATTGTACACAGGTCCAAAAAAAACCCAAGTCTTTTTTGGTACAGGAATACCTTACCTTCTGTGGTTGTTCTTTTAATTTACTTTGTATGACCAGTTTGCTTGTGCTGACAAATATGTAGCAGCTTCTACTAGGAAGTCAGTTGTTTTCTTGCACTGTTTGATGCTCATCTTCATTTCACATACCAGTACACAAGAGAATAACTCTTTTCCTTTCCAAAGTCTCATAGTGCTCAATTTAAACATTCTCATTTCTTCTTTAATCAGTAGCTGTTCTAATTTGATCTATGCAGTTCATTTCTATTTAGATTCTTATTTCCAGACAGGCTACCTGAATTGTAGCACTGCAAAACAAAGATTGCACATGGTGGCTCTGTGCGAGTTGAAACTTCACTCTTACACTTTTCTTCTCTGTGAATTCAGACACCTGATTAGCAGAAGTAGGGATACCAGTAAAGTCAACTTGGACTCAGCTTTAGAGAAAAGTGTGTGAATGTATTGCCTACTTTTGAGAGGTCTGAAATTTGTGACATATTGATGACTCTTGTTTGCATACAACAATGTTTGCATTAATCATTAATCACTGTATTATTGTAGGCCCCAAGGGAACACACCAAGGTATCAATATTCTTGTTCTAAGTTGTATTTATACTAGCAGTAGTTAGTACTGCTTTTAAAAGACCGTATCAAAAAATAACTTTTATCCACAGAAAGGAACTATGCAGATGTTTACCCTCCCCACAAAATCAGCAATCTGGCACAAAAAGTGGAATGGGGAGTTTGCTTTAATATGGTACTGACTATAAACCAACATGGAATAATCTCATTGTCTTTAAATAGGATCCCCTGCAGGTAAAATGGCCTCTGGTGAAAAGCATGTTCCTTAGTTTAGTACTAAACCTACACTTGAATTTCATTTAGTCAGAGAGGCTCTTTGCGAACAGACTGTAAATTCATGTATATGTCTTTATTTTTATTGATATTTGAAAGAGAACTAGTCAATCTTTTTGTTGTGAGACCATTTCTGCAGACAGTAAAGAAAGCAGTTGCTGTGCTCCCAGTTTCAGGAAGCTAACACTTCAAATTAAGCCAAATTCCTTGGTTAAAAAGTGGTTTATTGCGTTAATTAAATGTCTTGTTGGAGATACCACATTGTTAGATACCACTTTAGGTAACAACAAATAAATAATGAAGTGAAGGAGGGAAGGAGGGAAAAGGAGGGAGGAAGAAACACTGTATATACACTATTGGGAAAGAAAGTGAGGCTTTTCTTTTGTAAATATCTGCCTGTCATCCATTTCCAAATGAGCTGAGGACTTTTCTGCTATTTAACCAATGTGAAATTAAAAGTAAAACAGCAATAAATGAAATGAAAGAAGCTGTTTTTCCAGGTTCCCAGTAATAAAGAAAACAAACTGATGGCCCGTGTTGTAGGCTGGGACTTGCATCGTTCTGCATTGGTATTAGGTTTTTCTAGATACTCCGAGTGCCAGTCAGACAGTGCTAAATTAAGATATCTCCTCTTACCTAAGAGCATTCAAAAGTTATAGACCTGGAATTGAATATGCAGAAGTAGCATGTGTGCATGCTTTTTCTCTGTAACCCCCTGAAAGAATAGATTGACTCATTATAGTTTCTGCTTTACTTGAAGAGAATGTGCTCTAAGCAGCTTCATTTGATCATCAGTCTTTGAGCAGGGGACACAGGTCTTGCACTACAATTTCCTCAGAAGACTGTTAGGGAAGGATTTAAGTAGCTACCTCTTGATTACTATAAGGTAGGGTAAAATTGCTTTAGAAAGAATGGTTTTGCATTACAGAACTAATTTTACCTAGAGTGCAGATGTTACCATTTCTGTGGAGGGAGAAAAAATCCTCAGGCACAATGGGAAGGAAGCTGAGCTTCAGTATCTTAGCCTGAAGTGTGACCAAGAGTGATAAAGCAGAAGGAAAGCACCAAGTGCAGTCAAATGCCAGTGGCCTTGAGCACAGCTGGAACAGCCAGGTTGCTCTCAGAACTATAGCCACCTCATTTAATACACAGTCCAGCCAGCACATTTACCTCCTCCTGCTTCTGCTTTGTAGCTTTTGTAGCATTACAGTCTCAACATTAGAGCAGCTGCTAGTTCCTCACATGTTTTGGCTTTTTCCTAGCATTAAGGCTTTTTAGTGATAATCACTGTGAAACCTTTGTGGTGTTACAGACTAAAGTACTACAGCAAAGAGCTGGATTTGGAATAGAGTTTGAGCCAAGGTGGTTTCTGCAGCAGAGCTCAGCACTAAGCATTGATGACAGCAATGCACATCTATAAAGGACATTGTCCCGAGATAAGTCACATGTTTGTTTCTGTTCAGCAATGGGATGATATTTTCTTCTAGAAGGCAACCAGTTATACTGGCATAATCGCAGCCTGATGTGAAATCAGTCTGAGCTCTTTTAAATAAGTATTATTTGATATGCTTGTTTAGTATGATGCCACTTGTAAAAGCTGAAAGAAATCACTGCCTTTTAGTGGTCACTTATAAAGAAAACTACCCCCCAGTAATGAATGCATCATGTAAGCAGTTATTGCATATTAATATCAGGCTCTGAACTGAGATGCTAATCCATAGCTTTAGTTTTGCCTTGTAAAATGATTCTCTGAGTGTGTGGAATCAGGCACAAGTTAAGAACTGTCTTGTAACCTATGTATGATGCACTAGATAATTTTGTATGATAAGGCTGTGCATTTTTTGAACAAAAGTAGTTATGTCCCAAGTTTCCTGTCTGAGCACGTGAAAGGAGAAGGATGGCAGGTCTGCTTTCATCTCTTCAGATAGGAGCATGTTGAATGGAAATGCATGAACTAACTACACCTCTCACTGCTGTGTTACTAGAAGGCAAAGTCCAGCACTGTAACTTCTGAACCAGAAATTACTTGCACCCAGTTCGAAGAATATCTGATACTTGTTTTCCCAAATATGCCTTCCAAGGTTTCACCAGGCTGTTCATGTTCACAAGGAGTTTGCTGGTCCTTGAGTCCTCCTGGCCTGCTATAAGATAGTCAGTACCTAGTTAAAATAAAATTTAAAAAAAGAGGAAAACCTCAATAAACAAATAGAAGAAAACAGAACTAAATTCAGGATTTCTCTATTTCATAAGGATCTGGCATGCAGCACCTTTGCCAGCTTCATCCAAATGGCTGAGCTATGTCTTCAGCCCTATGTTTCTATAGAGGTGCAAAGTAAAACAGGAGAAGTAATAAGGAGGAAAACATCCTGTGATATTTTCCCTCTTCAAATATCTGTTTGGTTTATTTCTCACAAACATTCTTCTAGTCACAAATATTCTAGAAGATCAAAGTCCCTAAAAGTAAAACATTTACAGGAGATTTGAGTTCTTTGGTAAAATTTGTTCTCTGACAAGAAAATTCTTGTTACCATAGCTGTATATTGACTCCTCTTTGGTGTGGGTTTGCTCAGGAAGGCTGATCATACCTGATGTTCATAAGGAATTGTCACCACTGTTTACCAAGCAACTAGTGAGCATTTTGTCCTTACCAGGATTGAGAATGGGACATGTACAGCCCCTGTTGGTCCAGGATTCTGGGTAAATGCTTCTGTTGCTCCGAGCAATTTTCACTTTGCCTGATTTCAGGACCTTCTTCACTTTCACAACAACTTCTGCATGAGTCCCTTTGTCATGAGCAGATAGGATTCTTGCTTTTATTACTGCCAGAAAACATATCAGGATAGAGTGCAACAATGAACTTCTTAACGAATTTTGGTTTATGCTGCTAAAAGGCAGAATTTTAACACCTTGAAAGAAGACATGAAAAAAACCAAAACTGCAGTTGTACAGAAAGTACAATGCATTTCCATTTCACTTGTGGTTCTTACAAATAAATTTTCTTCTCCAAAACCTAGATTTTTCTTCTGAAGTAGTTAACTCATCCTTTCACCATGTTATCTAGCAGCTACTTTTTAATTTGTTGATGTCAAACACCTGAAAAATCATAGGAAAGCACTTGTATGTATAGATAGGAAGGGTGAAAAACTTGAATCAGCATCTACCAGTCTGATTTTAAGGTCAATGATTCTAGGCTTTATATTTTCCACTTTGAAAACCTGTTTTGGGCTTTAACACTGGCCTCTCAAGGATTTTGTCATGTGGGAAGGGACTGTCTACTCTACAGGAAGGAAGTCAGGAGGTTTCCCATCAGACTGCGTGCATGTCACGTGGCCAAAATTCCATGATTGCATAAACCAGAAAAAGTATTTTTGTTTTGTGGTCCAACATCTGGTTGCCATGATAAATTTCAGTTCCTTTTAATTTAATAGGGTCCCATAAATTTTTGGCAGGGTAGCCTCACCAAGACCAGCCCCACAAGCAGGATTTGTTGTGTCATGGCACAAGCACATCAAAACTTTGGATCCCAGAGCTTTCCTTTTTTGCTTCATGTGATGGCATGATCAGGTGTTCGTAAACAACAATATTAAATACATTACTGGTAAACAATCATGGCCATTTGAACCTGCATAATGACAGGTAAGGGCAGTTTAGATGTGAGGTTTTCATAATTTATTCTTGATGTAGAGGCCAACCACTCCACTGACTTAGAATTCTAGCACTCCTCTTGTAAAGGAGGAAGCTAACTGGGTGAGAAGGAGACACCATGGAGCCTTGCATGAAAAGTGCTTTTCAGTCCTGATCAGAAGTTGGACGTGTCATTAGACAAAAAAAGGCAGAAGAAACCTCTCATATCATGACTTAACCAATCCTGTCATTTTTCATAGTATCAGCTAACAACATGCATATAGAGAAAGAACATTGTGAAGTTATCATACCTTGGGGGCATGTTACTCACTTACCATAGGCATATTTCATTTGGCAGAAGTCAGTGACACTTCCAAGCACCTTTTCTTTGCACACACACTTTTCTAGCAGGGAAACCCCAGAAGACCAAGGGTTGGAGAAGAGCCAGGAGATGAGAGAGAAAAGAAGAATGAGAATCCTCAGTAGAAAGTTAGATGTCTACAGTTCCCATAATCCATATGGACCTTAGGAGGAAGTTTGAGGGAGCTCAGTTGTTTGCAAAACTGTTTCTTGTTACATGATACATTAATTCTACTGAAATCTGACCAGTGCTGTCAAGTAAAATGCAGTCTGCATGAGGTCTATTGTACAGTTAATAGACTCATCCAAATGAAGAGACTTGTAAGAATCAGATCCAGGTGTAAATCATGTTCAATCCCATAACCTAAGAAATTCTGATCCTTCCTGGTATTAAGGCAATACCTGTCTCAGAAAAGTCATGCTATGCAGCAAGTGGCACTGTTACCTCTGGGGCTTACCAAGCCACCAATGATGCTAAGTGCTGATCTTTACAGGGCAGGCAAAACTGAGAACTATTGAAATATTAAAGGTCCCACTTCATTCCTACTTACTTTGTAACTTGAACTGGATACAGTATACTTTACTTTCTCTCCTGAACTGTTGTGCTGTGAGGAATATCTTACTCTTAAAACCACTTGCATTCCACCCCAGAGGTAGTGCATTTCAGGGATGGCTGACACAAACTTCTTACAAACAGGATTTGAAGTTCTGAACAGGAACCAAATACCTGAGAAGGAGCTGTGTAAAATCATGAACATTATGACCATAATTACAACTACAAAAGGAGAGTATTTTGTCCACATAATCTTATTCATGACATACCAGTTTCCACAACCAAAGGTTGATCCTACAGCTGGCTTGGAAAATAGCAATGCAAGTATGATAACCTATGTAGCTCAGATTAACAGATATTGCCAGCAGATGGGGGACCAGGCAAGCTGGAAATGAGTGGAGGAGTTCCAGCCAGGGTGAAGAAAATAAAGAAAAATAAAAACACTTCACTGGGTGAAGTTACAAATGTTCCCGAACTCTGGGTTGTACCTGGGTGCCTCAGTGCAGAAAATCCTTGCTCGTGGTCATTCCATTTCCACTCCTCTTCACTCTCGTTGGTTGAGGTTTGCACAGGGTCAGGGATTTGTCCCCCGATGGGGATGTTAAAGAATGGCTCACTGTCATAGCTGGGGAGACACATAAAACAGGACACTTGGTTAGGACATGAGATAGGTGGGAAACAGGTGATGGCACTGGGACCTGAGGACAGCTGCAGGAGCTGTAGAACTGCATTGGCTCAGCAAATCACAGGATTTCTGCACTGATTAATGCCTGTCTGAGGTACAGATGCCTGTCCTCAAGAAACAAGAGGAAGACTTTGTCATTCATTGTACCCTGGGCACAGATGAGAGGCAAGCTCTCCAGACTCTTCCATCTCTTTCCAAAGCAGACATGTATCTGAACATTCTGTACATATTGCCATGAGGTTGTGGAATTGCCTAGCATTACTGCAAAGAGCCATCATTTCAAGATTGCCTTGGATAACACAGTGGACTTAAAAGTGTGTCAGACCAAATGTAGTCTAAGAAACCTTTTATGATTTACTGCCACCTTTTCAAAGGATTGGGCACCCACCAATTACTGTCATTGCTGCACTATTTGCTAGTCTTTGTCTCATTTCACAGAATCCCATCTCAAAGTGAACCCAAAGGAGGAAATCTTTACCCATTGAAACAGTTCCCAGTGTGCTGGTCGCAGCCTCTGGCACAGTCACAAGGGCGACAGCCGTTTTCTCCGAAGCCCCAGTAGCCCACGAGACATCTGTCACAGCTGGGTCCTGCCACACCTGGCTTGCAGTAGCAGAATCCTGTCCGGGGGTGACATCTCCAGCTGCTGCCGAATGTGGCGTTGGCTGAACCCATTGGCTGGCAGGCACAAGCTATGGAGATGCAGCAAGAGGTGACTCAGATTATGTGCCCAGGGCTTACCTGGTTAAGTGACATTTTTGCAAGGCTGATAAACTTGTACCCTCCTCCTTGTGCTCAGTATGTTTAAGTCGGAACTGCTAAACATTGCATTTCAGTCCGTATTCACAATATTACTGTTGTTTATTTTTAACTCATGAAACACAGCAGAACAAGTACAACTGTGTATGAAAGTCAGATCTCTCTGCTACACACATTTTGACCACACAGGGTTTTCATGCAGTACCAGGAAACCTCCACTGTGTGTTTATTTTTAAAGGGTCTTGAAGGTGATTCACTTTTAAAGTGTTTTACAGAGATTCACTAGCATGAACAAGGTTAAAAATGATAGTTATTGCCTACATTGTCTTTCCTGAAAACACAGAGATCACAAAGCTACTGTTTTCTCTGGAACTGGATGCAGCTTATACAGGTGGTTCAGATGACCTGAAACATATTTTTTATTTCTACCTCCAAAGAGTGCACAAATTTCCTTCAGCGTGAGTTCTAAGGGACACATCTCACCATGCAGTACTGTATGTGTGTAAAGAAGCTGATGAACTTTTTTTTTACAAATACATGAGCAGATTTCTTACAAGGAAGGCAAACAGAATGAGAGAAGGCATATAAACTCGTTAGACATTTTACATGTAGCTGAAGGTGAACAAATAGGAGGACAAACCCCCAAATCTTTCTAACGCTGTTGCCAGTTTGACACTGAGCTTGGCAGCTGAAGGCAACTTGTCAGTAAGATAGTTGCAGCTCTGTGGGCAACTCTGCTTCCACAGACAATAAATTGTCATAGTCCCACACCAGAGAGGATCAGGAGTGATAGACAGAGTGGTGCAAAGCCAACCCATTGACTCCTCTCCATCAGGGCAGAGACTAGTGAGATGATCAAGCCTTGTGCCAGCAGCTCTGCAGAGGTAAAATACAAGCAATAAACAACCCTACTCGTTTCTGATATTCAAACAAGTTTGATTGGAACGAGAGCTGAACTCCGGGCCTTCATATTTCAGCTCTTTTCTGTACTAACAAAGCAGTGTGCCCTGGCTTTTGCTTGTGGCAGGAACTGAAAAGGTAATGGATCACTACTCCATCCATCTGGAAGAGGGCAGAAATAAAAGTCTTGTGGTTAATACTCGCTTTAACAGAGATTTCCAGTTAAATGTTGGATACCCAAGGTGTTTGGATAACTTGGATCAGGGGACAGCCTTCTGGATGCTTATCTGAACCAAACACGATCTCCAAAGCTTTTGAAGTTTGCCTATCATTGATTCTGATCAAACTACTTTTCTTCATGAGCTCACAGTTAAGAGACCAAATGAACACTCCGATTCCACACATCATTTTCCAAGGGGATGGGGCAACTGTATGACTATAAAGAGTTTAAAGTGTAGCAGGGACAGATTCACTTTCATCTGCAACCTCATATCTGATGCTCAAGTAAAGAAAATACCGTTTGAAAATAGTACAAGAAAAAGGGTGAGCAATTTTGTTGCAAGGGCTTTTCTCTTATGATCTGCTTACCATATAGTTATTTTTTTCACCATGCCCTGTGTTCTTTATGCCAATAATCTTAATAATATTATTACACTGCTGTAGACGGATCCTGGTCCGTTGTTTTCAGGGGACACTAGCACAATAGCCTAAGGACAGAAAAGAAGCGTGCTGTCATGGGCAGTGTACTCAGCACAATGAGCTGGTTGGCGGATGGCAGCAGGCTTGCCTGTTTGCCACAAAGCAGTCTTGACTTTGGGAGCAAACCCAGGGATTGTGCTGTCAGTTCTGGAGAGCAGGTGTAACAGTGAAGTGCTCATTAGCACTGACAGTTTCAAAGGCAAAATCTGATTTTTTTGCTGCTAAACTTGATAGCTTTTTGTGCCCTGATTTTTGCAAGGCCAACTATATCACCCTAAAAAAAGAGACAGTTTATCAGTCACTGAAAAACATGGATGTCATAGATTTGGGGACGAGGAGGGGAAACACACTATTCCTTTATGGCAGACAGGTCTGAGCTACAAGGAGTAAGAGGCTGGCAGCATCTGAGTTGGCTTGAATCCAAGTTTGTTTTCACTGTAATAGCCCTGTATGTAGGATCTACCTGCAGAGTTTTCACCTAAAATGTCTTATATTTCTGCCAGTTCTGTGTTTGTCTTTATCCCTATCTTATTTCATCAGTTGGGTGAATCATTCACATCATTAGACTAACTATCCCCAACTAAGAATGGATCCCAATTCAGGAAGATGAGACCTTCTCCCATCCTATCCCTAAGAGAAAGTATTGCAGCACAGTAACTGACAGCATTCGTGAAAGCTGATGAGGAGGCAGGAAAAAAAGTGTCTTTTTTTATATTCTGAGGCTACAGTTCAGGAAAACTAATGTTCGCAGATGAACTGTCAGGCATATTCCCCAGTCAGAAACTGGGACAGCTTCTGGTGGATCAGAAAGCAAGCTGAATCAATAAATGTACAACACTTTCAGATGAGTTATACAAGTGGCTTGCAAATGCTTTACTCAGTCTGCGTTTATTTAGCATTTCAGCTTGGGTGGGTACATTGTCTGGCTTCCAGGGTGTTACGGCCAAAATCCCAGTTGTGCATCTAAGGTAACTCCTAAAATAAGAGCCCACATGTCACATGCTGAAGGGGCAGCTGTGGGTGACTGGGTTTTATCTGTTTAACAGTACCAGAGATTTGCAGATAAACCTCACAATTAAAGAAACATAAAAGCAAGTTTCCAAAACCTCACCCTTTCACATTTTCCAATATTTGATAACACTTTTCCTGATGATTTTTGCTTCTTTTCTCTTGGCAAACCGTACTTTTCTCTCCATCTGCCTCCCTGTCTAACAAAACATGAGCCGATGTGACAATGGCCTTGTTTGTCAAAGGCATCATCAATTATGTTAGGGACGGTGTGCAGACAGTTCTGGCTCAGAGTTGGCTGATTTCTTGGGGTTCTCCCCTTGATAGTAGTGTAATGAAAAATTTCATCATTGTACTTTAGAATTGGCTATCAGTCAGAAAGTATCACTAAGCATCCCCTTGCCTTTGAGTCTTGCTCCCATACTAAGTTTTTGTCAGAAACTACTGTAAAAGGGAGGAGACAAGAAATAATGAAAAATGAATAATTCATACAGCAATCTCCACTCGAGTCCTTAATAAATCTGTCTGCCCTCAGCACAGCTGTCCTTGCCATGTAATTAGACACAGATGTAAAATATAATATTGGTTGTAACAATATGCTCCCAGCTTGCAGGAAAATAGCAAGTGCTCCAAGTAATTCAATGGCCTGTGAGGTATCTTGCCTTAAACCTGTGTCTAATAATGCTGCATAAGAGCAACCAATGAGCAGACTTTGGCTATTCTATAAAAAACAGGCAAAATGAAAAATCAAACAAAGTCTTTTGAATCTGAAATATATACATGTGCATCTTTGGAGCATATGACCAAACCAGGGCAATTTTGAAAGCATGTCAGGTATAGGGATTGACTGCCAATGATGTTTCTTCAATGAAGGAAATAAGATAGACAGCTCTGTGTGTGGTCAGGGCTGATTAAGACAGACTTTGAACCAAGATGTGATGAGGCCTTTGTGATATTAGAATTAAAAGTTCACTCCCCCTGCTCAGAAGTAAAAGGATGGGAAGCAGAGCCTTTCAGACCATGTGTGTGCATGTGCGTCTGGGCACGTTTTAATTTTCAACCCTTGTTCTTTGAGTAAAAAAGCTTGTTTTACTGGAGACCCTTTTTAATGGGTCTACATGCCTGCATTATTTTTAAGCTAAGCAAAGAGTGAGTACAAAAGATGGTGCCATTTCAGAAGGATCCCTTAAGCCTCCAAATAAGCCACAGGAAAGAGCCAAGGATACAGCAGCTTTTCTAACCATTGGTTAGGAAATGATTAGGCTTCCGAGTCAAAGCTCCCATATGAGTCTATATCTAAACTACTTAATCCTGTGTTGTCACCCCCAATAACAGGCAGGTGTGTGCCTTGCTCTGGGCCTCTTTTCATGCCTTTCTTTTTTTTTTCAATATAGATCTAAGCAGTGTCAAAACAAGGCTCAGCACATGACCTGGCTCTCATTCATCCCAGCTGCTAGGAACAGGAGAAGCAAAGGGATCAGAGGCAAACTACCTCTGCAGACAAAAAGGAATAGCAGATTCACACTTACATATCAAATTTCAACAGGGTGGTTTTTTTTTTTTACTAAGGGAATGTCTTTGCAGTCTCACACTGGAGGGTCAGCAAAGAGTGGTTTAGATAGTGCCAGGAGATCCAATTGTTATACAACTCTTTTTTCCTAGCAGATTAAGAGAGAATGTTGTTCATTATTATGACTAATGCTTAAAGACTCTTTCTGGGCCTAGGCAGTGTCCTGTTAACTTTCTGGGAGCCTGAGGGGGATGTCACAGCTGAACCTAGACTTTGCTCTGGATGGCAGAGCACTCTTCAAGCGTGCTTTCTCAAAGGGATTAATACAGCATTTCATTCAGCTTTTTCATCAGATTTCCTTTCCCAGCTCAGTATCTACTGTACACAAGGGTCAAGTTTTGATCTCCCATTGAGGGTTTTTTTCCCTCTGTGTTCAAAATGGGAAGCTGAGCACCAGGTTGCTCTCACCAAAACCATCCATTCAGTCTGCTGTTTGCAGTTTATTACTGCTTTTCAACACTTGCTCAGTGGGTGGGTTTTTCATTTGGTGTTGTTAATCTGGCACTGTCTGCATGATTTTCTCAAAGTGAGATGATGCCTTGGAATTGGTACATTTAAATCCTAAAAACCATTCTAATCCAGAAGTGGCAGCTCTTCTCGTTATGATCAGCAGGCTGAGGTATGAGAAAAAAATGTACCTTGTAGTCTAATTATCTAATTTCTTGAATATGCTCAAAACAGTAACCTTTTTTACTGAGTAGCCAGAATTATTTTTAGGGTCATACAGCCTGAATAACTTACTCAGACCACATCAGATAACGTTTACTAGCAATGCAAGTTTTGCAACCTAAGGATAGAGAAGAGGGCCTCCATTATACATCCTGCATGAGGAGCTGATGATGGTCCTGGAGGTTAAACCTTCCCTCTATTAACCACCTCCCTCAGAGGTTTCTCTTAACTCTGTAGTTATATCTAGTGTACCTTCTATTTCCACAGAGATACAAGTATCATGCACACAACTGCTGTAAAAGTTGATGCTTTCTGGAGTGAACTGCAATACCCTTTCCTTATGTCTTGATATGGCAAGCATTCATGCATGCCTTTACACATCTGGAAAAGATCCCATTGACTGGAATCATGCACAGATAGGGTCATGCTTACCTCTGCAATAATGCTGGATCAAACTCATTAGATTCATCTCAACCAACAGAAACTCTAATGCAGCCTAGTGATCCAGAAGTCAAGGAAATAGATACACTCTGGAGGGCAATTCAGTTCATCTATCTCAGGCATCTACCTTAGACTGCAATAAATAATTCCCCAGAGGTCCCACTATTTCTCCAGTGACTGTACAGGGAGCCTAGAAAAGACATATAACTTTCAGGTGGCTAAAGCAGGATGGCAGATATCTAGGCCTGAGTGTGCAAGTCAGAGTGGAGACAATGGCATTTGGGGCCTTCCACTGGCAGCAGCATGTTCCCAGGTGAAAAGAACATTATTGTGCTTGACTGGCACGACTGGAATAAAGCTCTTTCAACAAGGTAAATTTCTGAACAGTTTTTCTTTTGCTATGCAGAGTATTGGCAGGGGGTACTGAGAGACCTGTAACCAGACCAGACAAAAGAGGCAGAGGTAGAGTCAAGGTCTGATTTCATCCAGGCAGACTGTTCTAGGGTTTCCACACAGATAGGCTGTATTTTCAAACAATGTTTTTTCCTCTTCGCTGCTCTCCAGTGCTCCTTGACTTTAGCAGTTATCTAGTATTACACATGATGTGGGTTACTACACCATCACCCTGCTGTTCAATACAAGAGTTCATACACAGATTCTTTCAGGTACTATGAGATTGAAAGCTAATCTTCTGGCACAACAATTTGTTCTCATTACAATATTACCCCGTAGCAAATCTGCTCAGAGTAGAAACAGGACTCAAAAGGGGCCATGACAGAACACTATGGGATACAGGGTGAGTGAGATAAGCTCACCCTCAGCCCTGTCTGCTGATCAATGTTCTGTCATGAGCATCATGACATTGAAAAGAAGGGTTGGGTGGAAGCAATCTGTGCTGTCACCAAGTTCCAGTGGGAAGAATGCAAAAAACCAGAAACATTGGATATGTTGGGCACGAAGTTTAAGCAATATCACAGGCCACATGGTCCTAGGGAGGGGAGTGTTGTAACACGAGTCTTTGAGAGGAATCATGTTGAAGAACATTAAAAAGGGTCAGGAAAGCTTCAAAAGCACATGATGTCAGCAGGCATGAGGTTAGATGACAGAGGATGAAGTTCTCTGTGCTGGCAACTGATATCTGAGCTATGGGAAAGGAAAACAAAAGGGAAAAATGAAATTATGTCTATTGTTGGAAACAGCAACCTCCCAAATAGATGCCAGATGGAATCAGATGTGTGAAGCCTGGCAGGATACTTGGGAAATGTTTACACTAAGTAAAGGAGATGTGGGCTGTTTTCCAGACGGGCTGGGTGCAAACTACCTTGATCCAGAGGTTGTACACCCTCTTCGTGCAACCATTAGTGCCTCTATGCCTGAGTCACTTCCTAACACATTCTGCTGAAGTGTTAATGATGCAATTAATTTGGGCAGAGCACCCCATAATACAGCAGTAGAATCCAGAGATAAGTCTGACTGAGCTCTGATGTATTTGTTCTCAAGTGAATGTGCATGGCCCCATGCTTCCTGCATCTCCTGCATCTGTTGCTATATGTATTTATGTGCACAGATGTTGCATAATGAAATGGAATTTAACAATAGCTTGCACACAGCCACACACAGTCTTGACAGATGCAGAAACAGGTAAATAAAATGTGTCTCACGAAGAAAGGAACCATGTTAGTTTGAATTCAAACACAAGAAGAATGTATCTTTCCCCACAAGGCAAAGCATTTGGAAAATATGCGATACCAGGAGTAGAAATACATACAAAAAAATCAGGATGATCAGGTTTGTTCAAAAAACTGTAGTGTGGGAAAAGAATTCAAAGAAAAGACAGTAATACTCATGAGTTACCTCTACAGGAGTTATTGATTCTATACAAATTGTTTCATTCTTTTAATCATTTTTTTTAATGATTCTTCCACCATTTGTCTTCACCACACTAACATAGGCACTTACGTTTGCAGACCTGTGCAGAGGACATGGGTTTCCCCCTGTCTCGGTAGTACCCTGGTTTGCACCTCTGGCACCGATGTCCCTCCGTGTTGTGCTTGCAGTTGTCACAGACTCCTCCACTGCGTTTTCCTGATGCCAGCCAAACACTCAGGTCAAAATGGCAACTGTCAGCATGGTTGTGACACCGACACTCTGGGCAGGACAGGAGAGTATCTTTCAGGCTTATATAATAGACATAACAATACTACTCAAATGGCATCATTTTCCTGGTATGATTTTCCTGCCCTATCTGATGATACCGTAAGCCTTGCACAAAACCTTGAAATGTTAAAATGTGTGAGGGGGTGTAACTACATGAAAACCAGATTTCTGGCTTGTAAATACTACTTCCCAATAGCTCCATTGGGCCAGCTGTAGAAAAACAACATGCATGCTGAAGTTTTCCATCAATGACCAGCAATTTATTCCCAGTTTCTGTAATGGCACCATTAGTGTAAATTGACAGAAGTCTTTGTTAGGGAGCTTTGCCTGCTGGCATGGTGAGTGCTCATGCTGAAAGCCTGGATCAGTAACCTCACTTCCACTTACTTCTGCATTCATTTGGGGCCCCTGTTTTTCCATCTCCTGGCTTCCAAGGCTGATCATTGTACAGAGGAGCACATTTCTCACAGTGGTCTCCTGCCGTGTTGTGTCTGCACATACACTTCCCATGGACCTGTCAGGGAAAAGAGAATACAGTCAAATAGCTACAAGCAAGAACATGGTGAAGTGCCCAACAGCCTCATGAGGAAGTGCCCAACAGCCTCATGAGGAGGTGGGACTTCTCCTGCACAATTCCCACACAGCTGCCTGGCTCTCTTAGGAAACCCACAGAGCCTGGAGCTTAAATGTGTGGTTTATCTCTTCACACAGTTATGATGTAGAATTTTTCCTCTGTTTTCCAAAATGCACATAGCAACTATTTCTTTTTAACTCTCCAGTTGGTTGTTTTACTTCTACATTGATGAACAACCTCTAGACTCTTAAAACTGGATAAGCTAACACAGTTTATTTTGGTTTACAAGTTCAGGGCAAGAGCATGCAAAGAGCCTGAGCAGTTGCCTTCAGGAGTGTCAAATACACTGTGGTCTAGCAGAGCTGAACCACAGGAGAGCACAGTCTAACAGAGGATCCTGGACCCTGTCTTGTTTGACATTAACAGTGGTCTGCAAGAGAGAGTGAATATAGGGAAATGAAATCACCATGAATTACTAAAATTAACACATTATCCTGGACCTCCTAGCACAGTTAAAAGTGTAGCAAAAGTATTAAAACTGGGAAAATACCAACCAGTATTCCCACAGAAAAGCAATCCAAAGCACACATTCTGTGAGAGGAAAGCACTGATGTTTGAAGAAACTTAGGTACAGTAGACACCAGCCTACATATTAATATATATATATATTTAGTTAGCAGAAAAGGCCCAGTAAAATTTTGGGCCATGTAACTTAAGAACACTGTAACTCCAGTAGACAGTAAATTGTCCCTGCAATGCTGTGCTCAGTTTTGAACATCTTATTGCCAAATAAATGAGGAGTTGGAAGATGTTCAACAAAACTGAGCAAAAACTGGCATGGCTGAAGAGTGGGGCTGATCTACAAGCCCTAAATACATAAGCCCATCTAAGCTAAGAAACCACACTTTGCCAAATATTTGAGGGGAAACAAAGAAAGTGCAAAAAGTCTTGACTAAAACTGGCTGTATCTATTTGCTTGAACAGTTAGTTGAAAAAAAGAACTTGCTTCCTTTGTACTTATGTGCCTTAACTGAAATGCAATTATGATTTTTATTCTTAGAGATATTCTAATATATGTCAGATTTGGAATCAGGTACTCACACCAGAAATGTGACCTGAGCTAGTCCAGCCTTCAAATGGAAAGTTACTATTGAAACTAGTTCTGTTCTCAAGTGATTTTACACACCAGGAACATAGCAGCCAGTTCCACTACACACTGTGATTTGGTGCACAAGGTTCTGGAATCATAGAATCATAGAATTTCAGGAGTTGGAATGGACCTTACAGATCATCTAGTCCCAACCTCCCTGCCAAGGGCAACCACTAGACCAGGTTGCTCGAGCCCAATCTGGCTTTGAACACTGCCAGGATTGCAGTATCCACTACCTCCCTGGGAAACATGTGTCTCACCACCCTCACAGGAAAACACTTTTTCCTAATATCTAGCCTAAATTTCCCCTCCTTCAATTTGAATCTGTTACCCATTGTCCTATCACTACAATTCCTAACCAAGGGTCCCTCTCCTGCTCCCCTGTAGGCCCTTCAGATACTGAAAGGTTGCTATGAGGTCTCCACTCAACCTTCTCTTCTCCAGGCTGAACAACCCCAATAATCAAACAGTAATATCAAGCCACATCCAAGAAGGGCCTTACAGGAGGGTTCTATGTTGTTGGTTTTTTGGGTTTGTTGTGGTGGGTTTTTTTTAATAAAGAAACAGGATTCCAGTATCTGTTTGCAATGCCTCAGAGAAAGGATTTCCCAGAAAAATTATCTGAGGAAACACCCAACACAGGGAGTGGGAGAAAGGGAAAGGAGGTACCATACATCATGTGCTAGATTTACCACAAGAGAAGCTGCCAATTAGTGGTATGTATTTCACATGCAAGGAGACACTTGTAGTAGAGCAGGAATTGCACAGAACCTGGGGACTTAGACCCCTGTCCCTCCATGCACTGCTGAGGACACTGAGCTCTGTAACCACTGGCACAGCTCTGACCCATTGCACATTACACAAAAAACAGAGGCTGAAATTTCATTTTGACTGGGGTGTGAATTGACTCTAATCCTTTAATCTCACCACAAATGTGAGTTAGGTTTTTCCATAGTCTTTCCTGAAAGTCAGACTCTCCCTTTGCAGCCTCCCCTTCCCCCACCTCACATAGCAGGTAGCTTGGGGTCAAGCTAAAGATGAAAAGAAGAAGTTAAGAAGAGCAATTGCACGAATGCTCTCCCCTGCCCCCAAACTCGTGTCCCTGCAGCAATTTGCTGTCCACTCCCCTGGTTTCTAATCCTCCCAGAGCAGAGCTGTGATGCAGCTCGCAGAAGGGACAGGCTGCAGCTGATGCCATGGCCCTCCATGGCCAGCTGGCAGTTTGCTGCCGCTCGGAGCGCTTGGCTGGCTCCTCACGGAACACTGAGCACAGATTCAGGGTGTGTGTCTGTCAGGGCTCAGCACCAGCAAACCTCAGGAGGATATGGCATGCAGCACATTACGTGGTGCCTCTCCAGACCATTGCACAAGAAAGTCATCCATGTCCAAAGCACTAAATAGATGGCAAATTACAGAGATGAAAATACTAACGAGCAAGTGTTGTGCTTCTCCCTCTTTGGGTTTGGCATTGCAGGCTCTAAGTTCTTCCCTGTGGACACAGGGGCTGCTTTTCAGAAGACAGAGAACAGAGAAAAGGGCCAGGAGTGAGAAAAGATCAAATGAGCCTGATCCAGAATCATATAGATTTTAACATCTCCAAACTTCAGGCTCCACATGAACTTTATAGCTCATTCCAAAATGGGTCAGAACCAAAATCATGGATCTGCTCACTTCTTAGGAAAATGGAAGTGCATTTTAATGCAAAATCTCTAAGTTGGCTCAGTAGTTTGTTGGGTTTTTTTAAATATATACAAAACCTGTGCATGCACTATCTTATTAATTAATTATTATTAATTAATTTTACATGAAAAAATGCTAAGACTGTACAGTTGGGAAATGGCAGAATTAAACAATGCAATCCTGTTGTAGCCTTGAATTACATGATCAAATATTCATTATTCCACAAGACCCTGTGCTTACAGTGCACAGCACAGATGGTGTGAACACTCATGAACAATTATTCAGAAAATAAACAGGAAAAGTCAGTGAGAAAGGAAGAGTCCAGTTGTTGTTTGGAAAGTAGCTGCATTGGTTTGCTCATTGCTCACTGGTTTGTTGTCAGCTGTAGTATGTGGATGCTGTTGTAGCTTGTGGCATGTTGTGAGCAGACAAGGCACAGAGGAAGCTTCCTGACTGTGTTCCCTGCTATGGACCATGTACCAGGTACCAGTGGAAGGATGACTTGATTAGACAAAAGGCTTGAAAAGCCAAGCAGACAGCCAACAGGAGAGTCATTGAGCAGGCAGAAGGAAACTTGGAAACAGGCATGGAACTTCTTTAAAAAGTGTTAGACCTGAGGCCTAAGCTTTTTTTTGTATAGATTTAAGAGCAAGGAAAAGAGAATTGATTGGTATAGGTGCAAAGGTAAACAATAATGGAAGAGTAAGCAAGTCTGCCGTGTGTCATCTGTGGATACCTCATGGAAGATTTTTTTTCCATGGACAGTAATCTCTGACAGTATTCGTAGGTGAAGCAGCCAAGGAAGAAAGTGCAATGAATCACAGAAAGGATGTGGATAGGAGAAGACAGCAGAGATGAACAACTCACATGGAATACACACAAGAAGGTGACTCATGGATGTAAGTTGTCACTGCAGAAAGACTGGTTAATGCAGGAGAAATTGAGCTATGGAAGAGGCTGTTACACTTAAGAATGAGGTGAAATAAGTGTAGGTGAGGTGGCTGCAAGTAATGACACAAACAATTTGCTCTGTTAGAGGAAGAGATAGGAGAGACAGCCAGAGACTAAAGTCCAGGAAGGAACAAGAATGAAATACAGGATGCTGTCAGATAAAATAGGAAATGGGATATCTGCCTAGGGAAGGGAGAATGTGAGAACTGCACTCAGGACCAGCACAAAGAGAGCAGGCATGTCCCTGAGTTGTTATTCATTCCTGAAGTAAGTCCACATCCTCACAAAATCAGGTCCCAAAACCCAGGAAATTGAGTTCTCTACTAAACGTAGGACCTCAGGATGCACTGGATCTCACCAGAGCACAAAGATTATCATGCCATCAATTAGGAAACTAGGCAGTTTTCAGCTGAAGTCCTATGGGTTTATATGTATTCATATAAATGTATTGGTACAGCAGAAGGATCAATTCCAATAATTTAGCTCAACCTGCTACACTAAGCCATGAATTTAATCCAGTAGTTCCTCCATGGACCTCTGTACCTGCTGTTCAATATATAACCAAGAGTGTAGAACCATATCCTGTTTTATACTACAGTTCCAAGAAATTACATGATACTCACCTTTGACTGCACAATGTTGCTTCACCTGAATTCTGATCTGCAGCTGAGTGGAAATTTTTCACCTGTTTGTCCTGCAATTTTTTTATTTTTTTTAAGGCTCTGTTCAGCTTCGTATACCTGAAGCCTCTTGCTTTCTCTCTGCCCATTTACTTTTCTTTACCTTTTGTCCTTTCAGTAAATGTTGTAGTTGTTACTTTTTCTCCTAGGCTATTCTCAGTCTTCTTGGGGGCTTTTTATTTCCTAATGAATGAAGGTTAAATTTGGAAGCCTTCCAGATCAGAGCAACTGCTGCTGATTCAGAGAAAATGTCTGTCTTTGGACTCTGTATTCACTTTCGAATGTTGCCAATGAAATTCTGGATACAGCAGTTTGCAGTGACATCAGAGGCTAGTTCCTTACCTGCTTGTAGGAAGATGACTCTTTCGGGGTCATTTTGAGTGGTTAAACAAAACAGTGTCTGCTATTCTGCTTTATTTCTCTTACAGTTCAAGTGGGCTCTGTGCTCACTCCAAATGAAGAGACATATCCATGTGGAT